CGAAATAAAATACGCCCATGCCTTTGATTGCCTGTTAGCTTTTCTCTTTTCACCTCCAAAAGCTACCGCTAGTCCCTTCCCCACTGTCTCTCTGCTAGCCTGCGCAGCTCCTCCACTCTCCGGCCATGGCCACCTCTCTTCATCTCTCTCGGTTCTTCATCCGCACCGGTGTCCTTACTCCCGACAATACCGGAAGCGGAAGATCCATTCCTCTTCCGTCCAGGAAGTCTCTCTCCGTCAGGTGCTCCGGGGATCCCTCTGCCTCCGTCGCTGTTGATTCCGACAATTTCGATGCCAAGGCCTTTAGACATAACTTGACCAGAAGCAAGAACTATAACAGGAGAGGATTTGGTCATAAGGAGGAAACTCTCCAGCTCATGAATCTGGAATATACCAGTACGTTTGTCTAGGAAGAAAATCAACTGAATTTCAATTGAATTCCAGTGTTTTAAACAGATTTAGACCTAATTACTTCAGATTGATTAATGCATTTTAATCTTGAGGAATTTGAGGAGTAAAAATTTTCATTTTTTCATGCCAAAAGTTCTTTGTAATTTTCTTGTTTTTTCAATTCGATTTCATATATTTTTTTTTTATCATCAATTTCGTATATTACTCTTGGAAAATTTCAGGTGATATCACAAAGAAGTTGAGGGAAAATGGGAATGTGTATACATGGGGAAATGTTACTGTGAAATTGGCAGAAGCGTATGGTTTCTGTTGGGGGGTTGAGCGGGCTGTTCAGATTGCTTATGAGGCAAGAAGGCAATTCCCAGATGAGAGAATTTGGATTACTAATGAAATTATTCACAACCCAACTGTTAATAAGGTGAATAGCTTTTTCTATTATTAATATATCTAATGACAGAGTTTGATATTGGTGGGAGTTCAAATTTTTGAGTTTTTGTTCTGATATTGCAATCTTTTCTTCCATTTTTTTCTGGCAGCGTCTGGAGGAGATGGAAGTTAAAAATATTCCTGTTGAGGAAGGGAAGAAACAGTTTGATGTTGTAGACAAGGGTGATGTTGTGATTTTGCCTGCTTTTGGAGCTGCAGTAGATGAGATGTTGGCTTTAAACGACAAAAATGTGCAAATTGTTGATACAACTTGCCCCTGGGTATCCAAGGTAGATTCTATAAATACTAATCTGCTTTTGTTATGATTTTAGTGCCAATGCTTCCTTAGTTTTATGTTGGACATGCCATCTCTCAATATTGTAACAGTTTTACTTCTCTTATCCTCAACTTTCTCAAGGTTTGGAATTCTGTAGAGAAGCACAAAAAGGGAGATTATACTTCCATAATTCATGGCAAATATTCTCATGAGGAAACAATAGCAACTGCATCTTTTGCAGGAACATATGTAGTTGTAAAGAATATGGCAGAGGTATGCCCTGTTTTCTTGTAGTACATGAGTGGTTTTTGGAGAAGGCATTCTGATATGATTAAAGTAAACTAGGAATTGTTCATTATCATGTTTTCTCATTTATTATTTTTTCTTTCATCTTTATTCAGGCAACATATGTCTGTGATTACATTCTTGGAGGTGAACTCAATGGATCTAGCTCAACAAAAGAGGAATTTCTGGAGGTATCTTATGTTTGTTGTGCATTTATTCTTATTGTTAAATCTAACTGCTAGTTTGCAGTCATTGAGATGATTATTGGCTTTCTTCATTTTCCTGCAGAAATTTAAATATGCGGTTTCTAAGGGATTTGATCCAGATCGTGACCTGGTAAAAGTTGGCATAGCAAACCAAACTACAATGCTCAAGGGAGAAACAGAAGAGATTGGTTAGTGGCACTTATGAAGTTGCTATATTGCTTTTTTTCTTATGTGCAAGAAGTACTTTTTGTAATATTTGGATTACTTTTTATTTGACAGGAAAATTAGTGGAGAGGACTATGATGAGGAAGTACGGAGTGGAAAATGTCAATGGGCACTTCATTAGTTTCAATACAATTTGTGATGCGACTCAAGTAATTCTATCGTCTGATCTTAAGCTATGGCCTTTTAGATGTCTGTTAGAATTAATGACATTATCTTATTGACAAATGTATGGTATATAACTATATGCTGCTTTTCTTCTTGTCTCGCTCACATTATTTGACTAAGTTTGTATGTTAGTCACCAAAGTTGAGCTAATTTTTTTTCCTTTTGCAGGAGCGACAAGATGCAATGTATAAGTTGGTTGAGGAAGATCTAGATCTTATGTTAGTGATTGGAGGGTGGAACTCAAGTAACACCTCCCACCTTCAAGAGATTGCAGAGGATCGTGGGATCCCCTCATATTGGGTTGATAGTGAGCAGAGAATAGGTCCAGGAAACAGAATAGCTTATAAGTTGAATGTAAGTCTTTTGCAAAACAATCAACATCCACTTTTTAATTTTTGGTTTACTTAGCTTATAAATTTGAAGTGAAAGATGTTATCTTTTATTTTCAAGATTTCACTCTGATTGCATTAATTGTTGTGTTCTATCAGCACGGAGAGCTGGTTGAGAAAGAAAATTGGCTACCAGAGGGCCCCATCACAATTGGTGTAACATCTGGCGCCTCTACGCCAGACAAGGTATTTCCCTTGCATGTGCAATTTCTAATCTTACGTTCACTTTTGTGACCATAAGTTGATGTTATCTTCAACTGAGGGGTTGACTTGCTTGATAAGTGGATTTTTTTCCCCAACCTTTTTTTTCCTTTTTTCAATTCCTGGGGGATTCCTCAGGAAAGTAAATTCCTTGCAAGCTTTCCTAATTCTGGTATATGGTGATGACACCACCTGTGATTGGATTGGGAACAAGTAGACTTAGTACACACAAACTGACTTCAGATATCATTTGATTGCAAATTAAAATGTGAATGCCACGATCATACTAACCAGTTATATAGATCATTGTTGCTAGCTATGCAATACACCAATTTTGGATGCTCATTTTGAATTTTATATCCTTTTTATCTCTAATACTCATTAGTAATTTCTTGTATGGCTGGATTTTACCAGGCTGTTGAAGATGTACTCATTAAGGTATTTGGCATAAAACATGAAGAAACCTTGCAACTGGCATGAATTCAGATTCACACGGATGCACTGACAATCAACGCTAGTATGTTTTACTATCCAAGCAATGTGTAATTAAAGTACAAGGCTCTTAGGGTATACATTATGCTGTTGTATGTGCCCTCAAAGTCTGATGTTTGTATCAATAAATGTTGGTTGTTATGGCTCTGAAGTTGCTGATATTCCTAGTGCAATTTTAACAGGGATAAGATACAAGTATGTAATTCTGCTCTCTACTTTTGAAAATATAGTACCTTGTCCATGAGGATTTCACTCTGACCCCATTCTAGATTAGCTAAGTAGCAACTCACATTCGCTCATAAATTATTTAGGGGATGGGGGAGTTTGAGCCCATCTATTTTGGATGGAGGTATATACTCAGGTATAACCAAGTGGAAAGTTAAAACATCTCTTGTATAAAGCCAACTTGTCATTTTATTTCATTGAGTATTCAAAATTTTATTTCAATGGACGAAAATTTTTATCTGTTTGTTGCTGATCCTCACTAGTCGATCTTTCATACTTCAAATTCTTCTAAGAAATTATCCAGGGATGGATTCTAAAGGAGATTGTCGAGGCTCAACACGTCCGCCCCACCTTCTCATACGCCTCTCAGCTTGTACAGCCTGCATCATTTATTGGTTGTATTAAGAATCTAGAATCAAATGCAGCAGAAGATTAAGTAAATTCGTGGTACCTCTTTACGCCAACTGGCTCGGAGCGTCACAATGAGCAGAATGGTAGTTTGAAGGATGGTACCAACCAGCATCCCTGACCATATGCCTTGAATTCTCAGCTTGAACTTGAAACCAAGCACAGCTCCAACAGGAATCCCAAATATGTAGTAACACCCAATGTTTATCAATCCAACGTACATTTGCCTGCCGGCCCCTATTGCCACCCCTGCAATAATCATCGTGAAAATGTTTTCAGGTCAGTACCATTCTCCAGTGAATGTCGGTTAGTCCTAGAAAATGAGCAGTACCGTAAAGAACGGGAAGGATGCTGCTCAAGAAGATTGTTGCTGCCAGAAAATACCCCAGCTTGGAAGCCTCACGTATAACAGCTGTTTTTGTACTGAACAGCTTGGGAAAATCATTCTTGGTTACCAGAATAATGATGGAGAATAAAATTCCGATAGTCAGAGATGTTAGAAGAGCCACTACTACTGCAAATTTTGCTGCTTTTGGTCGTCCAGCTCCAAGTTCATTGGAAACTCTTACACTGCAAGAATTAAAGTGACAAGACTGTCAATAACTGTTCAACCTAATATCGTAAACCGAGGAGACGGGTTTAAGAAAACATAAGTAGGTTAGCTGACCTTACTGCTGCATTGAAACCAAGGGTAACCATGGAAGTCCATAGTTGCAGGTTCATGCTGGCATGTGGAAAACACAGTATATAGCAAGAGACTGATTTGAGAAACAAATAAAAATTTCGAACAAACTTCAAGAATGATGGATTGGGAAGAAAAACTGACCAGACTGAAACGGCATCTACTGCAATTGCTGGATTTTTCAACCATCCTACCATAAGAATTATGGCTGTGAAGTACCATAGCTCCAAACTGTTTAGTTTGCCATCATGCATTGCATATACAAGTTTTGATCAAATACTGGTTCAAAATCAAATTCCTTAGAGGGGATTTTTGATTCTTGAGTAATTTGAGAACTTACCACAACATTATAGCTGATGCAAGTGAGAGTTTCACAAAACCAGACAGGGACTTGAAAGCCAGCAGGGAAAAACCAGTCCAGGAGTTTGGGAAGAACCCACCAATTACATAGATAACCATGACAATGACTTGAAGCCACCATGAGATGTTTCCAGCCATGGCAGCTCCGAGCAGACCGAGTTTGAGCTTTGATACCATAAGCCAGTTCAATAACACATGAAATGCCAGGCCTACAACTGAAACTATGGTCATGAACCAGACTTTCCTCTGAGATTGAAGAAACTTCTGGATGGGGTATGTCATGGCAAATGCAAAGAATTGAGGAATTATCCATCTGCAGTATTTTCCTGCAAGGTCTGAGATGTCCTTGCTCTGACGAAGAAGCCTCAAAATTGGGGAGGCAAAAAGGTAAAAAGGAGCTAGACTTAGGGCTGTGACTCCGGAAATGATCCATGACCTTTGAAGGAAGACTCCGAGCATGTTATATTGCCCAGCACCAACAGCTTGGCCGCAGAGTGTCTCAAGAGCACTTCCCATTCCTAGCTAAACACAGATAAGATCACATAAACATATGAAAAACGTCAGTGCAATTCCTTGTTGTGCAGAAGAAACTTTATTGTTTCTGTTAAGGGGAAAATCTAACATTAGCTAAGGTATTTCCAATAAATTTTAGGTTGGACGCTTTGACACGGTATTAGAGCTAATTTGAGTTTGCCATGATGCTCACCATGATTCCAGAAACGAATGCCTCAATGACGGTGGTAACAACAGAGACTGCAGCAAGCTCGATCACTCCCAGGTGACCGACTGAGGCCACCGTGACAAAGCCAATGGAGAACTGAGAGACTGAGGTCAAAATGGCAGGCCCTGCTATCTTCCACATCTTCTTTGATTCATCCCAGGTTTCCACTGCTATTTTTTGTTTAGCCACTTGGTCTCCTCCAATGGGTGTCTCCATCTGTAGTGCCCTTTCCTCTGATGGTGAAGCCATTTTTCCTCACCTGTATTTTTTTTTTCTTCACCACACGCACATATATATAGATAGTTCTGCTTCTGTTTCTCTTTGGTCTGTAATATTGAAAATACGAAGATCATGTTTCGACATCACTGTTTGAAATTGCTAGCTATTTCTTCAGAAGCAAATTATCATTTATGGTATATATGGAGCTGCATTGATTGTGATTTCTGTTTTCATGTTTTCAATTATTCGATCAACCTCAATGACTTGTTAACTAGGGAATGCATATTCAAATCCCTCCATCACTCATTTGGGTGCATGTGTCACGCTCACCATCCTATATGGTAGAGACTTGGTAGTACGGTATACAGGGTAGTTTGCAACTACCTGGGAACGAATCGGGACCCAAGTAATCAAAATCCAACCCACACCCCACACCAAAAAAAAAAAAAAAAAAAAAAAAAAGAAGAAGAAGAAGAAGCTGATATTTGTGTCTTTCTGAACTTTTTTTAAGGTGAAGCACTGCTTTCACAATAAATTTAGTTTCACCTCAGCTTTTATTTCAGCATTCATGGCTTTTTCAAAGTCAGTAGAAAACTTGGAAGGTACCATTGAGTAGGAATTAGGAAGAATTTTAAGCTTGTAATAAATACTGAGTATGACAACTCCTCCGCAAGTTTTACCAGATCAAAATTGGAGGTACCTACCAACAACTATTTGTTGTGAGTTCACAGTCATTGTGTTAAAGACAAAGTGCCAATGAATGCTGATATGTTCTTCCTGTTTTTCCAATCAACAAAAGTACGGGAAACTAAACTCGTTAGACAGACACAGATATACGCATTTTATTCTAGAATGGTACGTATGGCCGAACAACATGTTTATGAAGAAACCATGCAAAATGGTCAATGTAACCTAAGAAAAAATGGTATTATGAACTAATATACGAATCTTTGGTATATCTGTAGTTAGTACAAGAAATGTACAGTATATGTAATTTGGTGTCAAAGGAAGGCACGGGGTTGCAGCTCAAGGTTTGTAATCTTTGTCCCGTGAACCACAACAGTCATACCCACACATTCAGGAAAACAAATGACTCCTTCCCCATAGGTGTCAATCATCATCCATCACTCAAATTAGCTGGATGATTCAACCTGAGTGGAGTTTCTTATTTATATACGTTAAGCTGAAGCCTGGAGATCAATTTGAATTGGAAATTTGAATGGTAGCAGCTTTTGCCACATAAAATGCTTCCAGCCACAACTGATGCCTCCAAAACTAGCCACTAGCACTATCAGGTTGCCTTGAAAGAGATGATTCGACTATTTCTGGAACTTGATCAAGCAGTTGATTCATTTCCTCTAAGAAATCATCTTTCCCCCGGTTAATCTTTCCCCCAACAATTACCTCTGTTCCATTTTGCAAGGCCCATACCTTCAAATTCCAAAACAGAAATAGTCCTATCATGATCCTATTAACGATAATATACAGTCCCAAAATGATGGATGCAATCAATCTAATAAATTACATCAAATCCATGATGTTTTTTTGTATATTTCCTTTCTTCATACCTCTAATACCATTTCAGGACATAAACTCATCCCAGAAATGGGAATTTTACCTGTGCATGAGATAAATAACTGACGCAAGTTGTGAGCATTAAAGCACCAAACCCAGCATACACAATTGGCACCCCTGGATCAGTCTGATGAAAGATAAGGTTTTCTTTTAGTGAATTTAACACACAATCTACATTCATAGAACATGAAGTTTCTTTTAAATTGTCACCTTCAATTCAAGACCAGTACTGCCAATTGCATCAACGATTTCAATTTTTGTGCCATCAATCTCAATAGGTAGCTTAGAGTTGGGTCGTCGTACACCAGCAAATTTCCCCTCTTGATCATAAATGACAATTGACTGTAGATCACGAGCAAGCATTGATCTGAAATTTCAGTTGATAAAAGGAAAGGGTTAGATCAAGGAAAAGACTAGCATGAAAAGCAAACAACAGGGTGCATATTGCCCACTATCCAATCCAGCATGAGATAAAATTCTGAAGATTTCTGTTCTAGAGAAAATGCAACTTACCAAAATACCACGCTTGTAACAAGCTGAGGGCACAATAAAAAGCTTCAATAATGTTCACTGTTGTTTTGTTTAGCTTCCTTTCTTTGAGTTAGTAGATAACAATACTCCTATGGGCTACTCTTTGCTAAAGTGATCATCAATTCTTATCTATGAAGTTGGTATGCATGTAAAATACAACAATGAAAGAGATACATACATTCCCTTCACATTAGGAGAATTGGTATCTCCAACAGGTAAAAAGGTTCCAAACAACTTCTTGTCTCCATTGAGCTTTAGAGGAGCCATAGCCAAATTGAAAGGTCCTTCATCATCCTTAAGTATCTGTAGTGCTGAAAAACTCCAATCTGTCTGGTACATGGTGATCCCACCATACCTTAAGGGGTCATTTACACTAATTGTTTTCCTCATTACCTCTTTCCCTTGTAGGTCTAACAATGATAGGTCAGTATGAAATTGTGAAACCTGTAACAGATGAATGGAGTAATTAACAAAGGGCATTGCAAATGCAAAATATGAAATATGTCAAATAGAACCAGCAAGAGCCTAAGAAGGCTGGAACTTTGTTTTACAGCCTAAAGATTAAGGATTTTTCGAGATTTGGAATAAAATGAGAAGGAAATAGAATTCTAGCACTTTGGGAAGGTAGTGAACAAAATGAAGTCCTTAGTATAGAATGATAGAGCTATCCCCAAAATGTTCTCTTGTCATATGTCTTTAAGCAGAGAAGAGAATTAAAATTTACCTCTCCACTATCATAGTAGTCCATGTAGAATCTGTTGACATGAACTTCAGTGTTGAAAGCTTCAGTTGGAATAGAGAGGAAGCCTGATGGGCCGAGGACATCTCCTGTGACAAAATTGAGCCCCTGTGGAACTGTGACTGACCCTCTAAAGCTGCCAGCTGCACTGAGGGTTCCACCAGCCATTATCAGCAGCATTGCTAAATGTACTCCAATTGGGGCAAATCGACCAGCCAACCCCTTGAAAGCATACAATGATGGTCCTTTCAGAAATACCTGTATTAACCAAACCATGCATGGTGGATAATGGCATATATGAACCTTTACAATAATATGAATATTTACATGCTAATATGGAAATTGGAATTACTTTGTATTCATATTTAAGAATCATACATGATCTGATGCATATAACTCTAGTAATTACCAAATCGTCAACCCTTAACCATTGCAAACAAATATTAAAATAGACATATAGACAAATACCATATTGCAAACTACACATTGGAAACTATTTCCAGACAATAAAATGTTTTAGTCGGGCAATTGCATTTCATTCCAAAAGCCTCACTTGATGACAATTGGGTGTTTTTTACTGTCAGAATGGGATTCTTTCCAACAGAACAGGACGAACATCAACTGTACCATTCATCACTCCACCAGCTCAAAATTTCCCAGGAAACAAAAAAGAATGGCAAGAGAACAAGAAGGGGGGAATATAACCTCATATCCAGCTCCCATCAGAAGGATGCCTAAATCTCGAACAGATGCTTTAGGAAGAGTATCTGAAAATTCCTGCTTGCGAATGGCATCAGTTGACTGTATAAAGTTCCATCTGCACATAAAGATTTTCTATTAGTTGAAAGTATCTTCCATCCCAAGTTGTTAAAATAACATTAAGTTGCTTCAAACTTCAAACCTTTTTGCAACTTTAACAATTGGTATTTGTGTTGTGTAAGTGCAGGCCATAAGTGATGCAGCCAGGAGAACCAACATTCCAAGGAAAATAGGAGATGAGTACATGTGATCTAGCCCCAGGGTGAGAACCCATTTCCAAGTGAAGAATCCCAAAACTGGACTATCTTCTGGGTACTTTTGGAAGTAGAATTCTGGGGTCTCACCTTGGTCAATTATTGTACCTGGCCAGTTCCCAATGACAATAAATCAAGCTACTTAAAGGAATTTTAGCATAAATAGGAATAAAAAGGCGTGCTTTTTCTACATTTATGCATACCACATGAGCACCCAATTCATCAAATCACAACTACAAAGGCGTTAAACTTCTAAGAAAAGAAAGGAAACAAAGAAGGAAAGGCCCAACAAAATCATACCAACAGCCATAAGGCCAGCAATAGTGAACATTTCTCCAATAGCCAAAGACAAATTAGACAAAACCGCCAAAGCCCTTCTGGGCAACCTCTTCACCACCACCAAAACCCCACCTCCACTCTTACTAACCTCCCCCTGAATTTCTTCATTTCTAATCTCTGGAGGACCAGAATCCGAGAGGATAATCTTCTTCGATATGTCCTTGCCATTGTTTTTGGGACCTTTGGAGGTTTTTAGCTTGCAAGTGAGGTTGAAAGACACAGTTTTTCTTCTGAATGGAGACTTAATCTGGAGACTGAATGTGGAATAAAGAGAAGAAGAAGAAGAATAAGAAGAATCGAGGAAATGGGTTTTGGGGAGAGACACGAATAGTGTTTGGGTTTTAGTGGGGTTTAGTAGAGTTGCCATTGATGATTTTGGAAGAAAGGCGTTCCTCTGCGTTGGTTAATAAACGGCCGTTGCCATTGTTAGTCTATCCTTGGCGGTTTTAGATAAGAGATGAGCAAACCAACAATTGCCACGTCTTAAACATTCTCTTTTTTTTTTTTTTTT